TCTCTTTAGAAATATGCTTGGTTTTAGAGAAGGAGGGAGCAAACTTCCAAATCCAAGGCAAGCTTGATATATAATTGAATCAGAACCATAACTTTTCTAGAATTAAAGAGATATGGATGTTAGGGAGTGAGATTTTACCTTATGTAGATGGGTACCAATAGATTCTTTTCTTCTGTTGTAGATGTTTAAATATCCAAGGCCTTGTGATTTCTGGAAGATGGGTATTTTTATTATCCTGTAAAGACAAAAAACAGAACCCTGCCCCAAGCCTTGTTTGTTAAGTATTTCTTACAACTTATAGAGATGTCACATCTGTGGATGAGCTTTTACTTCTCCTCATCAAGGTGTTTCTCCTGTTTAAATCAATTTTTTTTATTAATTTTGTTAGTATCCATAACCTTTCTTCTTTTGCAGAAACAAAAGCAAAACCTCTTCTCCAACTTAGGATGTATCCTGGTTTTCATTTTGAGTTCAACACATCCTTGAAATAAACCAGTTGGGTTAGCTCAGAAGCTTTATCTGTTGTCCAATGTCTTTCCACAGATGATATTTCTTTCTCATCAGCACTGAGAAAATTCAAGATAAATAAAGCAATATGCAATCGATTTCTAGGAGTCATTGTTACCTGTTGCTGTTTATTTAGCATCTCCTTTAAAGTTTGATTGGATCTTTCTATGACTACTTGGCCTGTAGGATTCTGTGGGATACCTGTAGCATGCTTCATATTGTAATAGACAAAAAAACTGTCTCATTTTATTGGAGACATATGCTGGGGCATTTTTCTGTCTTAATTTGTAAAGGTATTCCCACAATGGTAATAACTTATAATAGGTGTAATCACAGAATCAGCCTTTTTAGAACTCATAGGAATTGCCCACTGAAATCATGAATAGGTATCAATGGTATGATGTACATACTTTAATTTTTCCAAATTCTGTGAAATGAAACACATCCACCTGACAAATTTTATTTCTTTGTATAGCTTTTTGATTGCTTCCTGCAGGTAATGGATTTTGGTTATAGAAGGAATAAGTAGGTTATTTTCTTACAATTTCTTTTGCTTGTTGCCAAGTGATAGAGAAATCCTTCTTCAAACATTTGTTATTTACATGATGTTTCTTGTGAAATTCTGAGGCTTCTACCATGTTACCTACTAGTAACTGATTAATCTCATCATTACCTTGTGCTAGAGATTCTGGCAGATCTGTATGGGATCACATGTGAGTTATATATAAGGGAGGCTTTCTATTCCTGATTATTTCTTACAACTGAATAAGTAACAAGGTGATTTCTGACTTATCAGGGATAAATTCTGCAATCTCAATATGTAATACCACTCTTTCAACATACTGAGAACCAGTAACTATATTAAGAGGTTCCAAAAAAAATCCATTAATATCAACAGAACAGCAGACAATTCCAATTTTTGAACTGAATTATTAGGACTTTGAACAATTTTACTTAAATAGTCTGATTTGTAACCTGACTTTCCTTGTTTATTTGCATCCATATAAAATTTAAGGGTTCCAGATATGGGTTTTTTCCTTACAATATGAGGTAGAATATAATCAGCTCTCTTTATTAGTTGACTTCTATCACATTTGGAATATTTGCTATTAATCTCTTCAAAAAATTACTGCAAGCTCTTTGCCAAGGTTCACTTTCTGGCCATAATTTGTCAATGTCATCCTTAGTTAAAGGTACTATAATTTCTGCTGGATCAATTCCTGCTAATTGACAAAGTCTCAACTTTCCTTTTAAAATCAAATCAGAGGTCTTTTCTACATAAGTTTTTAATTTTTTACACTATTTATTTGGTAGAATTATCCATCCCAATATATCTTTCCTCTCCATTAAAATTCATGTAGGAGAATGCTAAGAGGGTAAAATAACCAAAATGCAATCAAGATTTGGATCCACATGATCCACATGTCTTTCCTGTACTTTCTCTTCCACCAAAGCCAATTCTTTCTCCACCTCAGCTGGTAATTTGTTTGGACTATTTAAGTCCTTGTCACCTTCTAAGGTTTTGAACAAATTACTCAGTTCATCATTTTTTTACCCAAACAACAGTTCATAAATGGGAAATGTCTCCAAATAATCTTTGAAAGTCATTAAGAGTGTACAATTGATTTATCCTAATTTGCATCTTTTGGGGTCTAATTTTCTGTAGACCTATCTTATATCCAAAATAATTGATAGAATCTCCTCTTTGTATCTTTTCAGGAGCAATTTGTAATCCCCATTGAGGCAAATTTTTCTTTACTTCTTCAAACTTTTTTGTTTAAGGTAGCTGCGTTTGAGTCAGCTAGTCAAATATCATCCATGTAATGATAAATTATAGATTCAGGAAATTGTTTATGTATTACTTCCAATGGCTGTCATACAAAATATTGGAACAGGGTTGGGCTATTTATCATTTCCTCTGGGAGGACTCTCTATTGAGACCTCTTAACAGGCTGAGAACTATTATAAGTAGGCACTGTGAAGATAATTTTTTCTCTGTCTTTTTCTTGTAAGGGTATTGAGAAGAAAGAGTCTTTTAAATCAATAACTATAAGAGGCTATCCTTTAGGTAGCAAAGTAGGCAAAGAAATTACAGATTGTAAGAGCTCATTGGCTGAATTACATTGTTAATTGCTCTTAGGTCTATTACCATTCTCCATTTACCAGATTTCTTTTTATAACAAAAACTGGACAACTCCAAGGGCTGGTAGATTCTTCAATGTGTTGAACATTTAATTGCTCTTGAACCAGCTGTTCTAAAGCTTGTAACTTCTCTTTTGTCAAAGGCCATTGTCCAAATCTAGACAGGTTCATCAGTTAGCCATTTTAAAGGTAGGGCTGTTGGTACTTCTGAGAGTTAAACAGCAGTTGTACTCTGCTTTTGTACAAACTGAATGTATAATGTTATAATATTATTCCTAAAAAAATGCATTGGTCTGTTTTCCCTTTCTGAGACTGTAGAAATTTTAATATGGGTATTCTATTACTGTAACAGATCTTAGCCCCAAAGAGTAACTGCTACATTTACCACATATGGCTTCAGCCTTCCTTTCTGTCCTTCTGGCCCTATGCATTTGACCCATGTTGAACTCTGTTTTGTTCTGACATAGGGTTCTAATCCTTAAAAGTTGGACATCTACTTCTTGATGAGGCCAATTTGGATGCCATGATTTTGGTGTAATTATAGTCATACCCATATCTGTGTCTGGCAGACTTTCCAGAACAATGCCATTAATTCAAATTCTAAGCTTTGATCTTTGTTAATTTATGGAAGTCTGCCAAAATATTCATTTTATTGTGTTCTTTGGAACTTTTGATTCTCCTATCAGTGTTGTTCTATCATCCAGTGCAGTGTCACTCTCTACATTATGCATTGGTTTATTTAATTGTCCTGGAGAGGCATTTCCTCCACAGTGGCTGGAAATGTTTGGACCACATTCAATTTTGGGGCCTGCAAGAGGTCCCCTGAGGTGTTTCCCACTTGTAAAGGGTTGCCTGCTGTATCTATTACTGATCTGCACTCATTGGTCCAATGTCAGCCTTTGCCATATCTTCTACATAATCAAGAGAGTTGGGGTCTCCTCTTTTGGTTATTTCTAGAAGTATTACTTCTAGGAGCACCCCATGTACAGTTTTTACTTATATGACCTGGTGTACTACATTTAAAACATTTTGTACTTCGGGTTCTTCTTCCACTTCTGGAAATTGCCTATTATATCCAAGCCTTGTTACTATTGTTAAGAGACTCAACACCATCTGTATACTGAATCCATTCTTCCAAAGGAGCTGATCTGACATTTAATGGCATAAGTATTATTTTGCATTCTGTATTAGCATTGTTGAATGCCAAGGACTCAGTTAATACTTGTCTTAATCCTTTATCTGACATAGCTTTCATTATAGCTGTGGTCATTCTTTGTAAAAAAAAAAAAAAAATCAGTGAAGGGTTCATGTGGTCCCTGAAGTATCTTTGTATATACCACGGTTGGTTTTCCTGGTTCTGGAACTTTCCCCCAAGCATTTAGTGCTGCTGTACAGCATGGAGATATTGTATACTCATCATAAGTGGCTTGTACATTCCTATCAGCAAAATGTCCCTCAAAAAGAATTAGATCTTGGGAGATCTCAAAACCTTTGATATTACCTTGTTGTTCTAAAAATTTAGCCTCTTCTCTCAACCAGTTTTTCCATTGTAACTGCTGGCTATATTCTAGAACAGCTGAAATTAATTGATTCCAGTCATCTGGAATAATTCTATGTGAGGTAGATCACGAATTTAACATCTGTCTCATATATGTTGAGTGCATACCATATATAACTATGGCTTCCTTCATATTTTTAAAAATCCTTCATCAATATCTGTTGTAATGTATATTTCAGATATGGCTCAACGTGTCTATCATCTGCTGGCCTCTCATGGAGGATGACAGGATAAGCCACTGTATAAGAGCCATCTGGAGATGTTATGACCTATATGGTTTTGCCCTTCTGCTTATTGGGTCCCTTGTTATGTTTACTGAGAGTTTCTTCCAGGGCTTATAAATGAGCACCTAGTGTCTGTCCTAGTGAGTAAACCTCTGTTGCAAGATACTCTAAATTTCTCATGGCATCATGCAACTTTTTATGTTCTTCTGAAAAACCTGATTCCATGGACCTTATTTTATCAATTCATGATAATCTTTCTTCTTTGTAAAGTGTCTGAGCAGCGACAACATCACCCTGCAAAGTTATTGTTCTGTCCATTGTGTATTCATATTTATTATCAATAAAATCAATTCTGTTTGTACATTTGTTATTAATAGACTGACATTCTTGTAATAAGTTAGCAGATTACCAAGTAAGGAACCTGTTATTTAATTCTGTATTGCTCTCTTATAAATCATGGTTAGTAGATTTCAAGCAAGAATCTGTTTATTCAAGTCTGTAGTTATACCCTGTAAAGCCTGAGTAGCAGATTTTATAGAAAGAGTATCTTTGCTTAAATCTTGGTTGCTATCTTACAAAGCCTGTATCAGTCCCAATAATGAGTCATCTTTGTTATTATATATAACCAGTTGCTCAATGCTATGTAAATTATGATGGTATATGTCAAATTGGCGTATGCTAGATACATTCCAGAAAATTCGTACATTTTCCATAATATTTCATCTATCATATGAACAAAGAAGTTTTTTAATCCTTGTGAAGTAATATTTTGAAAAATATTCAAAATTTGTAAAGAAAATTTTATTAATTTGTTTATTTATTAATCAGTTTTAAGGTGTAAAATTATCAAATACTCTTACTTGCTTGTGTTTACTTTTTTGTGATAATTGTTTGGGTGTAGTAATGCATTCGGCCATTAGGAGGTGGTGGTGTGTCATTAAAGCAGTACTTTTTTTTTTTTTTGGGTGGGGGAGGTGTAGTAACACAGTTTGGCCAGTAGGTGCAAGGTCAAAGCTGGAGCAACTAACCACTACAGGTTGTTTTCTGAATTACAAAGATAATGACAAAATTCAAAAAAGGTTGTGTTTGTTCATACCA